ATCAGCATGCTTATAGATATCTTCCTCCTCCTCCTACTCATCATCACCCTCATCATCACCCTCATCATCACCAACATCATCAGCACCATCAGCATCATTTTCATGTGAAGAGTCATGATTTACATCAGCATAAGCATCAGCATCATCATCATCGTTTGCATCAGCATCATCATCAGCAGAAGCATCTGCATTATCATCAGCATCACCACCACAGCGTCATGATCATCATCGTCATAATCAGCAGCATTATCATCATCATCATTATCATCATCACCATTACCATCATCATCGTCATCATCACCAGCATCAGCATCACCATCGACATCATCATCCTCTTCCTCCTCCTCTTCCTGCTCCTCCTCCTCCTCATCATCATCAGCCTCAGCATCAGCATCATCATCATAATCGACATCAGCATCATCATCATCACCACCATCATCATCATCATTATCATCATCACCACCAGCATCATCATCATCAGCATCATCATCATCACCACCACCACCACCACCACCATCATCATCATCATCATCATGATTATCATCATCATCATCATCATCATCATCAACATCATCATCATCATCATCATCATCATCATCATCATCATCATCATCATCATCATCATCATCATCATCATCATCATCATCATCATCATTTTCGTCATCGTCATCGTCATCGTCATCGTCGTCATCATCCCCTCACCCCTCTCCTCCCCTTCCCTCCTCTCCCGCCCCGACGAAGCTGGGGCTCTGGACGGACCCGCCAGCCGAGCCGATCCGACGTGAGAGCTCGGGCGCAGTAGAACGGAAGGCTGTAAGTGGCTGGGACGGGCTGGGGGTGCCAGTGCTTCTCTTTCTCCTTCGCCCCGCCCATCTCCGCGACCCATCACGGCTCACAGTTTCCTTGGGGCCTCAGAGGCCCCAGGGGCACAGCGGTCCCCTGAGCGGCGGCCCGCGGGGAGCCACACAGCCCGAGCCGCCATCTCGCTGGGCGGCCGCAGCCAAGGCCCACAGCCGGGCAGGGCGGCGGCGCGCCGGCGGGCCGCTGGCCGAGACCCACGTGCCCGGGTCCGCCCTGCGGTGTGCTGGTCGCCTGCGGGCAAGTGGCGGGCGCTGAGGCACCAGCGCCTCGCGGCGGGCAGCGCGGAGGGCGTGCCGCTGGAGCGCAGCGCTGGCTCAAAGGGCTGGCGAGCTGCGCCGCGAGAGACCTGTGTCGGCACGGCCTTGCCGGCGGTCGTGGGCGCACCGGCGGCGGCGGGGAGCGGGCGCTGGCTTTCGCGGACGGAGGCAGCAACGCCAACGGTCCCGCCGGCCTGGGACCACTGCCTGACAGGAGGAGGCGAGGAGGAGACGGAGAGTGCTGCCGAGCTGGTCGCTCTGGCCCACCGGCAGAGCGGGAGGCCCGAGGTGGTACCGAAGGGGATCGCGACGCCGGCAGAGGCGGAGGGCCCCCAGATGGCGCACAGTGGCCAAGGACGGCCAGGTGCGGCCCGCCCAAACCCCCGCCCGTGAAGCCAGCGGGCGGCGAGGGCAGGGCGAGCCCGCCGCCGCAACCACGAGAGGACGAGGAGCTTGAGATTCCGTCGAGCGGGTTGTGCGAGGATGGAGGAGGAGGCCAGCTTGCCCGCCGCCGCGAGGCTGCCGCGAGGAGATGCCCCAAGCGGGAGCCGTCGCAAGGGCAGAGCAACGCGGAGGAGGACGAGGCCAGACAGTGATGGTGGAGCTTCCAGCACGTGCAGTTCACGTTCGTCGGCAACTGGTCTTGTGGCTGCTTTCGCACGTGGGACACTGACGGCTGGCAACAACTCTGGGCAGAAGGTGGAGGGCTCATCGGAGGAACGGTCACTACGGTTGGGAGGCTCGCATTCGGGAAGTATTGGCCATACGTATCTGGCAGCCTCCTACTCCTGCTGGCGGTGGGTTTGGTGGTCGGCGTAGGGCACGGGCTTCACTCGACGGTCACTGGCCTGGACGAACTACCTGGTCGTGAAGCCGCTCAGGATGGTCTTGTCCCCTTTGTTGTGGCTCCTCGGCTACTGCCCTCGGGGGCGGACAAGAGGGGGGCGTCTAAGAGGGGGGGGGGCGCAAATCATGGCCAGCGGCATGTGCGCGGCCAAGAGGGGGGGGCTGGGACGTCTTGAAATAAGGGGCGCCATGAAATCGGGGGAGATATCATGGCCCCCGCCATGAGATCCACCCCCCCTAGTCATCACGCCCCTCGTTGCCGCCCCCGATGCCCAGTGCCCTCACCACCCCGCCCAGGATGAGATGGTGGAGGAAGAGGTGCGGTTCCAGAGCTACCGGTGTCCAGGGAGGGCGAACCAAGTCGACAATGCATTCTACGCACAGCTTCGCGCTCGGGGTGCGAAGGGCAAGGCGCACCACCTGGTCATCAAGATCGGCGACTCTGCAGCCCGCTCCGAGCGCCCTCCCCTCACAGCACGGGTATGAAGCCTAGTCGTTCGGGGCGCACCTAGCAGCACACCAGTCCTCGGTCTTAC